GAGCAATCCGACTGTTATATTGTTAGTCTGGGAGTTTTTCAAGACTAGGAAGGCCCCCCTCTACAATCAGTTTAGTAGGAACCCCCAAAAGGCCTTCTTAGTTTTGATACACACCCTCAGGGACCCCCTAAACGGAAGTTTGAACGCGTCTCCATGCAAGCAGATCTGTTGCCAAATCCCTAAAATGTATCGGGTGATTAGCAGATACCGGGTGTCCAATGTTGCTTGAGGTTGCCTATGCAAGCGGAGGTAACCCGTCAGAGTCTCATTCAGAGCCGTGTGTGCAGCCGCCTACGTTTTGAAAAGTTTTGCTTTAGGTCGCTCATGCAAGCGGGAGCTTGTGACCATTGATCTGTCAGAATCTCACTCAGAATTGTGTGTGCTATTGCTGACTCTTGGAACTGTTTTGCTTGAGGTCGCTCATGCAAGCGGGAGCTTGCGATCAATAGCCCGTCAGAGTCTCATTTAGAACCGTGTGTGCGACAGCTAACTTTTGGAAAAGTCTTCTTCGAGGTTGCTCGTGCAAAGGGGAGCTTGCGACCATTGATCGTCAGGCTCCCACTCAGAACCGTGTGTGCAGCTGCCCCTTTTTGAGACTTGCTTGAGGTTCTCATAAACCGAATGAAGCGGGCGTGGTCTATGCCACTGCTGCCCTATGTCAAGTGCTGTGCGCAATTGTGCAATCGTTTTGGGGCAATTTTAAGACACGGGTCAACATCCATGCTGGCCCGCTCGGGGCAGCTGTACATGTTGCTGTCGCTTGAAAAAATTGCAGTCCAGTACGCGTGTTTATTGGCCAGACTTGTGCACTGTGAGCTCCGGTTCGTGGCCCGTCGGGCTTAGAAGCGTAGCTCGGGCGACAAACGTTTCTCTTTTGGTGCTATCATGGCGGATGAAGGAGATAGGGCGCCTGCGCCTGCGCCGCCTGCGCCTGCTGGGCAGGACGAAAGTTGTATCCTCTCACGGTAATTTTCGCCCGGCGAGAATCAAAGTTGTACAGCTTTGTGTGGCTTCTTGAAAGGCACCTGTCTGGATCTTCCCTGGTTGTGCGCAGTCATGCTTGTGGTTGGGTAAATCCAACGGTATTCAAGCAGCGGGATGAAGGATTGAGGAATTTTGGAAGCCCAAATAAGCCTCGCCCCAATAATCAGACCCACGGGACATCTAACAGGCCCCGCGCCGTTGTTCTTCAAGCAAACCTTTTGGTCTTTTGATAGTACCTGCTGTTTATTGCCGGGGGTAGAAAAGCCCTGGCGGGGGTTGAAAAAATCTGCGGGGGTGAAAAAAAACCCGTCCGGAGTGGAAAAAACACCCCCGCCGGGATCGTGCACCAACGCACCGGGGGTGAAAAAAAGCCGACCGGGTTTTTTTCTACCCCCGGACGGGGTCAAATAAAAACCAAATGCTGTCTAAATCCCGTTCGGGGGTAAAAAGAAGCCCGTGGGTAGAAAAAAACCTTCCCGGGGGTCAAAAAAAACCCAGCCCCTCTGCAAACTTGCTTGCGTAATGGAATCTAGCTCTGCTGAAAGTGCCACACGGTGGCGACAGAATGAGAACATCCAGGTCAGCAGTGGAACTAAGATCGAACTTTGCTCCGGGATGACCAAATGCCATGCCATCTGCGTGTCTTCTTCGCAGGCGCGCCCTGCAAATAAATACAGCACGCTTCGCGTCTTGTCGTCATGTCTGCGCTCTGCCGCAGAAACCATCGCATCCTTGTGCATTGAAGGCAAAAGAAATTTCCCGTCCATCTGGAGTGCGATCTACAAGGCCATGGTTGCTCTTGCCTGCCTCATCGCCCTTGCCTTTGGACGTCTTGCCCTTGTTCTGCTTCCCCCTTCCGTCCTTGCGGGACCACTTCCAATTCGGAAGGGGAACATCAGATGGCCATGTGCTGCCCTTCGAGTCTTTGCCCTTGCCTGGCCAAGTGCGCTTCCAGCCGGTCTCCAATATTCTAGGCTGCAGTGCGATGGGGCTTGTCATGAAATATCGCTCCTTCCTCTCTGGGTCCTTGACGACCTCAGCAAGAGTATCCTTGAGTGGGCGGTTTTCGTGATAAGCTTTCTTAACTGCCTCCTTTCTCAGCTCGTATTCGAAACTCAGAAGAATGTGCCATGGTGGACGAAGCATGGCGCCTTCCACACCTTTGACTCCGCCCCCGTGGATTTTCATAAGGAAGCAGCGCTCGCCCAGCAAGAAATTCGAGTAGTTTTTCCAAACTCTTGGAGTCATGTCGCGCAGCATCTCCCGATTCCTGAATTTTGCTGCCAAATAGCGCCGCGTGTTGCCCTCCACCTTGAGAACCTGACGAAGTTCTTCGGTGCCCTGTGGTAGGCTGCCCTTTTGCTTGCTTTTGACTATGCGAACATGGCCAGAGGTGTCCACGGAAGTCTGAATGCCCATCGTGCGGGCGTTCTTCCTGCTGGTTACCTCAGACAGTGGAGAAGCGCAAGGCTCGTGAGATTCGAGCTCCTCAAGTTGGGTTGACAGATACTCATCCAAAGGTTCAACCGAGTCCTCGATGGTTCCATACGACTTCTCGTAGGAGACCTTCATAGCCATGCGATCAGTCTGGGTCACTGGGCGTGTGACGCCAAGGACCTTCGCTTCTGGGCCTTCAATTCGGCTTCCTTGACTGCAAGACTCCCATGCACTAATGATGGCTGCAACTGCTGCCCTACTAGGGAGATCGGCTGCCCCGTCGAGTGCGAAATCTGTCTTTAAAGCGTTGCGGACTTTGGCACGGTCGTCCTCATATGAGGCGAATCGCCGAACAGTTGTGAAGTTCTGACCAAGCTTATACTGCAAAGGAATTGGGGCGCCTGCCTCCTGCCACATGTGTGCGCTCTAATCCACCTTAGAAGACAGGTAGAGGACGGCGGCTTCTTCTGTGACTCCTTGGGGCAGGTCCATCTTGAGTGCAAGAGGGGGAAACAAAATCAGCCTGAGCCCGAACTTCGCTTTAAGCAATCGTGCTTAAAGCACAGACAATTCCCTGGCGAACATCCAAAGCAGCCACTCTGACTCGGCTGTTTCCAAAAGAATCTGCCATGTATCTGTCCCTGCCTGGCACTTTGCCCACTCTGACTCGGGCTCAGCACTTGCCGACTATACTCGTAGCAGTCGTGTCTTTGGACTGCAGACAGTGCAGAAGAAATGTGCAAGAAACAACAACCAAAAGCAACAGTCAAAGCAGCCGCAAATTTGCTCACTCACTCAGCTTGATGGCAGCTCCTGTGCGGAATCTGAAGAAGCACTATTACTCGAAACGTCTTCAAGCGAATCAAGTCTAGGTTTGCATAACTTGCGCACAGCGTCAGCGCACTCAGCTGTGACCTGTTGCAAAGGGGTCCACTCAAGGCAACGCTCCTGACGTACTGCGCAAGCCCTACTCAGATGAAGGCGTCTGAACCCACTCCGGCTGACTGTGACGAAGAATGGTGCATCGCTCACCGGCTCCGCCTCAAGTGGCGCCTCAGTGATCTGCGCCTCAGCCAGCGCCCTATCCAAGGATGCCGCTTCAACGCTGATTGCGGGGAACTTCCCGCCTGGATCCGTGTGTTATTTATCAGGATCTTGCGCAGTCCAATCCAGTGCTGGGCTTATCAGTGCTTCAGAAACAGATTAAGTCCAAACGGGCGCAGACAGCTAGCACAACGAAGCAAGAAAAGGAAGCAGCTGGTAAGGAGAGGTGGTCTTTGAAGCTGGCTGGTTTCATCATCGCTGCACAACTCCCTTGCGCAGCAAGGATACAGGCCATGAGTGATCCTACTGCAGCTTGGCGCCGTGCATTTGGCAGTAGGCGGGCAGGCACGCTTAAAAACCGGCCAGTCGCATGGGAGGCTTTCCTCAGATGGCTGGAACAAGCAGAGGCGACCGCACGGCCGTCCGGCCCAGGCATCGTTCTGCAGCACTTCCAGGAACGGTTCGAGGGTGGAACTTTGTACAAGACCACATCTAACTCGTTTCTGGGAAGTCTTTTCCTGCTGGAGCAGGTGGGGCAGGTTCTTCCAGCAGATCGTCTTTCTTCGGACACTCTCATCACTGAGGCCGTTAAGTCATGGAGTACGGAGCTTGAAACCTACGCTCCAGCGGTGAGGCAGGCGCCAATGTTCAGTATAGCTATTCTTCTTGCGCTTGAGATTACATTGGTTCGGACTGGCACGCCCCCGAGGCTCCGCTTCGGTTGTTTCATGCTGCTCATCATGGTTTGGTCAGCACTTCGGCGCGACGACTTACAGAGCATTGATCCATCCTCGCTGAGCTTATCACAACTGGGCCTGAAATTCACACTGCGTAGAACGAAAACATCGGGCCCCGGGAAGAAGCTAGGCGCATTGCAGGGCTTCATCCTCAGGGCTGTGAGCCTAAGTGGTTACGACTGGGTCGCGGCTGCTTGGGGAGTTCTTCGATCTGATGATTTCAACTGGCCTAGAGATTTTCTTTGCGTTCACCTGGATGAGAATTGGGCGGTGGCGTCACATGCTTCTCGGAGCCTGAAGGGGTCGCTGCATTGGTTAGAGCAGTTCTTCGGTAGCTGCACCCCAAGAAGCATCAAGGGCAATGGGGCCTTTCGAAGGCCTCACACCTGGTTCCGGGTGAAGCCGTGGCGTTCTGGTCGGGCCATTCGGCAAGGCATGTCCTACCTTCACTTGCAGCTGCGATTGGCGTACCAGACGAGAAGATTAATTTCTTGGGGCGGTGGGCGGCCGCTAAATCTGCGTCGTCTACCTATGTTCAGACAAGCAGGCAAGTTATCCATCAGGCCCAGTCGGCGATTTGTACATCGCTGCTGGAGGGCAAGCCGAAACCGGGTTATATCGAAGAGGAGCTGCTTCAGGAACTCAATGAGTTCGGAGTGGCCCGCGGCCTTACAAATGGTCTTCTTATTAGAGCCCATTCTGTTTTGGAAGCTTCCTCGACAAGTCAGCCATCTCGCTGTCGGTAAGTAGCCCGGTCATGGCGCAACGGACCGTTGAATCGGCGTCACTCTGCTCGGCCAAGCTCAAGACAAAGGTACCTGGATCGGTGAATGCTTCGCGAACCTTGCCAGCGAACACGGGATTGATAACTTCCAACTTATCCCAAGCCTTTGCAACGAACATTCCGCCTCACACAAGCACGACAAAGTCCTGTATATCCTCCCTGACCTCAAGAGAAGCTGTGACCAGAACCCTGCGACTAGCAGGATCGAGGAATTCCCAAATAGAAGTGAAAACTGCAGAGTTGTTGGTAAGACAATCGAACGAGATCTCAGTCCCTGCGCTACAAGAAAACTTTGCTGGCCAAAACTTCGCAAGAACACTGAGTGTCAACCATCAAGTGCATGGGTTCCAGTGCTGACTGCAAGCGATTTCAATGCGGAAGATGTGGCGTGAAATACGGCAACAACTCAAGTTTAAAAACTTCAAGAAAATACCACAGTTTTCCCCAAGAGGGCCAACCTAAGCGACAGCACCCAGAGAGACCCGCCCCCCACCCTCAAGGCTCCCAGACTCACGCCTGGACGAACCCAAAACACGTTACCTGCAGCTGACCCCTCCAGCCCTATGTGTGTGAAGACGGATCGGGCGCCGGTTGGAGGTTTGATTGTTCAGGCGTCAGGGCTTCCTCTTCTTCAGCTTTCATGACCGGTGAAAGAATGTGGCTCTCAATAAAGCTACAGAATTCTCCCGGCTGCATTGGCTTGCCTGAGAGCATTCTGAGGCCGCAGCGTTTCCTTTGCAAGAGGGCGCCTATTTCTTCTGCTCTTTACTCACCCCTCCAATTAATTGCTTCAGGTCGCCGATCCACATTTCAAGCGCAGAAGGCCGAATGTGGGCAGCTCACACAGGCCGCCAGATCGAACAGGATGGTCAACATTGCCAGGGACTCAGCATGGACATTCATATGGCCAGGCTGGCATAGGTCCACGCGCCAACACGATGCGGCTGAATTTCTGCAACGCCTCTGCCTGAAAACTGAATGAGCTCTCAGAGGAGGATGGGAAGCACGGAGACACCGAGGAGGTGCCTATGAAGTCATGGATGAGCAGTTCACATGTCCCCATGTCAGGTTACCGATGCAGCGACCTTTCCGGATCCAGGAGGCAGTGCAGCAGTGGCGCAATCAAGATGCCACTCACGCCCTCATTCATCCTCCCAGACTCCTGATTCTGCAGGTCAGCCGATTTCTACACACTGACCGGGGAATCAAAAAGACTCGTTAGACCTTCGAGCTCCAGAGAGAAATAAGCCTCTCCACCTTTTCAGACCATGAGGGTAACATTGAACAAACATCGTACATCCTGACCGGAGGTGTTCTTTACGTTGGCCAGGTCGTCACTGCAGGTCATCGTCAAGCGTTTTATTTTTCTGGAGACAGCATTACCCATGGCAAACACACATGATCCAGGATGATGGCCAACCTGCGCAGCCCGGTAATGATGCCACCCGACAAGCCATCAACACGAATTGCTACCTGCTTGCGTATACGCGTGTGTGAGTACAACTGGCAACTAGGGTCAGCGGCTCTCCGCACTCTACTGGTGTACCCTGCTCAAGGCCCTATCTTCTAAAACGATGTTTTTTCCTTTACTTATTTGAACTGTCAAACGCCAAAACTGCGGCTTCGGCTAGTAGTAGCTCTGACATTTCAAATCGCCACTTTTAGGCACCTTTGCACTTAGGCTCTCGGCCATGGCCGCCTCTGCCTCCTCATCCATGCAGCCAGCTGACGCTGTGCGTGCAGCATTAAACAGTGCCGACACGGCGCAGGAGGTCATCACTGCAAAGAGGCTGAAGAGGTATAAGATTGCCCTGGATCTCGTGCTGCGCCACTTCTTTTCCAAACAGGGGTTTGCTCCAGGTGCTGTCTCATATCGTGTCAGGTTTTTATGGAAAGACATACTTGAGGTCTCTTTCCAAGAAAACGACATCACTCTGGCTCTGATGCGGGCGGTCCGTAAGGATCCTGAGATATCCAAACTGGTCAAAAGAGGAAAATTTAAGTATCCTCAGTACGTCGGACTCTGAGTCTGAGGAGGATAATGAGTGCGCAATGCCTGCCTCTGGTTCGCAAGCAACTAGGGCAGCCTGAATGCCTAAGTGACGGTGTGCTGACTTCTAAACCCAACCCTTGTGCGCAAGCGTGTGAGCACAGCGCAGGCGTCACTTCTGTGAGCAGTGTTGGAGGTCTCCTCACACTCGCTGAGGATGCTCAGCGTGGGAGGCATCAATATTTTAAAAGCGGTGTTTGAGGTCTCCTCATACCTGCTGAGGATGCCGAGCTCATTGACTTGCGCGTGTATATATCTTGTGTTTCTGTACAGTTGATATGTGTCAGTACGTCCCAGCCATGACGCCATAGCTGTCGGGCTCCTCGGGGCACAGCTCCGCGGCTGCAAAGGCAGCTATACGTCGTGTTGTCGGGCTCCTCGGAGCACAACATGACGTTTTGCCTCACCGGCGAACCCTCGCGTGAGGGGTGACAAGGTTCACACTCGGCCGCAAGACAACTGACTCAGTTGATGCGATTGAATGAAAAAAAAATGATGCTCCGTCACGTGGAGATGTGATAGAAGGTGTGCCGGACGTCAAGGTATGTCCAGTCCTACTCAAGGAAGCTTTGCCAGGGTTCTTTGGGTGAGTCGGTGAGTGCTCCAAAGGTGTGCAGGGAGGGTCGCGGGATGTTCCGCACTCACTATGTTGTCCCTTAGTGCACTTGTCAAATGTCTGGAGACACGAGAAGCCCATTGAATCCTTCGTGGAAAAATGAAAGGTCCGCAGAGCTGTGTGTGATTGAATCATTGAATATATGATTGACTTATTTGAGTTGAGACGAATGAGTGAATACATTCAAGTCTGTTTTGAAATAATTGGACTTGAATATTTTTCTGGTGGTTACAGTTTGCCCGGCCTCCCTTGGAAAGAAAAATAAGACACCGTCGCAGCCTGCCTGTGCAGGGCATTATTTTTCCCATGGGAGGTGATTTTAAGGTGGTCTTAAAATCAAGGGCAAAGTTTTGTTTTCCCTCTCACGAAAATCATTAGTGACCATTTGTGAATCTTTTTCCTGCTGCATGTTGTTCTTGCATGACAGTCATGTTTGAGTGGCTTGACAACATGTTCCAACGTGCAGTGTGTGCTCAAGGTTGAGCGAAGTTTTTGTCCCACCCACCCACCCTAATGCACTGAGGTGGGAGGTTCCACTACTTTAAGTGTATGGGAGGGTCGCGGGATGTTCCGCACTCACTATGTTGTCCCTTTGTGCACTTGTCAAATGTCAGGGGGGTCGCGGGATGTTCTGCGCTGACTATGTTGTCCCTTTGTGCACTTGTCAAATGTCTGGAGACACGATCGTGCGCGTGTTCTTGTTGTCCGGCCTTCGTGTGGACACACTTTTGTTGCCTGTGCGGCATCCTCTCCAAACACCCCATCCGGGGGATCTAGTGCGCTAACCGTTGTGCCAAACCTGGCGAAGCCCCGTTCTCCAAAAGAGCAAAAAGTGTGAGCCGCGTGAGTACATTGAACGAGTAGAATACATATAGATTGAATTTTGAAATATTGAGTTTAAATACTCGAGACTCGAGACTGAGTAATATTATGATGATGGAGTTTTGCAACCCAAACACAATACGATTAAGACGGGAACCTTCCCAGCCCGCGGACAATCCTGTCTTAAGTAGTATTGTATTTTGGGGGAATGCTGGTGAGTGTTGGTTGCGGATTTTTATGGAACGAAAAACCAACATGGGAATTTCATGCGCAAATTCTGATTTGAGCATGGTTTTTCTAATATGCCAATTTTCATGAAAGCATGGCGATTTTCCATGGGAATATGCTTGGAATATCTGCCGATGTTGATGCTTAAGCACCCTTTGAGGTTACATGGTCATGCGGCTTGTTCACATTGCATATGCATTCACTGACTGTGATGGGAACATGTGACAAGCAACGTGCCCAGAACATTTTTCACCCGCCCGCCCGCTCCCAAGGGGGAAGCCTCTCTGGCTCAATTGTGTT